ACTACTACTACTACTACTACGGCGGCCACGGCAAGTACTAATACAACGACGACGACTACTGCTACTGCTACTGCTTCGGTTATGGCTACCACGGCGACAACAATTACTACAACCGCTGTGAATCTTGTTACAAGATGTTACAAGAACTAGATACGTGGATGTCGTTATTTGCAAGCTCGTAGTCCGGTTCTTCATAATTGGCTTGTTTGGCTATGTTGCTACTCGTACCGTTTATACGCAGTCCTCGTGCTTACACTTCGTACCACTTGGCGTTTCTGCCTTTGATGATAGCTCAATTCGTACAGGATTTAGTTCTGACGGGAAATACGGAAGGAAGTAGTGACTATGGTCCTGGTGAGGGAGAAAGCGAGAACCATATGGACCACGATGCTTAAGTCAAGTCCGAAGCCTCTAAGTTGACGCGTTTGCTGTCATGGTTCCTTGCTGAACGTTGTCTTTGTGTTGATAACGTCGCGAGGGTGAGGGTCGCGAGTTCTGAAGGAACCCATACATCGCCCCGGCGCCCGGAATGCTCGAGCCCCCACCGCAGATTTACAAGCCTGAGGCTGGGCCGGGTGTTGGTGTCCAGGTGGCTACCGATACTCTGATACACCACTGCTTCACCGAATAGCCACAACAACTAAGATTGAATAGTCTGAGCATTCGTTTTCATGCCCACACGCATGAAACTTCGCAAGCCCTGTTACACCCATGCTGGCGCCCGTCGCATTGAACCCAATCAGCTGTCCCTGCCTGGATGACTGTCAGGCAACCTTTCGAGACAAAATTACAGCAGCTTGATATCCGTGGTCACGGCATGACAGTACTTACGCAGTTCTGTGAGCAGTCTTGACACCAAGATTTGGTAAGAGCGTTGGCTTTATGGAGTTTGTGGTGCATGCTGTGAGTTTGAACAATAGATTCGCTTTTCCCCTATGCTGACATATCTGTGCATTAGTGAGCATGTCGCCAGCTTCTTTTTCTCGAGCCTTGGTGCAGATGCCTCAGAGCAAGTTGCCTGTAGCTTTTCAAGGATTCGGTCTAACTTTTCCGGTGTAACGATGCGGGCTCAGCAATTTAGGGCTTTCCAGTTTGTCTTACATATTGTCTTTGATTTCGCACGGTTGGGTTCGGTCGTTCGTCGGTCTGACTTCGGAGTCTCGGGCCGAAGGTGTGGGGACACCCGTGTGCCAGGATCTCATCGTTGGCGAGACGATTGATGTCTTGGGCCGTGAAATCGTGATCTACGACTGCGACGACTTCACCCGCAGCTTCTACAGAAGCTACATGGGCTTGGAGCAGGACGCCGGGGTTATTTTCTTGAGGGCAGAGTGCCGTAGCCTCCGTGTTGCACATCGCCACGATGAACCTGCAAGGCCAGCATCAAGATCGACCACCCACCTTTGACCCACGACGCTATGCCAAATTGGGGACAGTCGATCAATTTTAGGGCCAGGGTCATGATGTCAGTGCATGTGTCGAGTTCGCTGACGAATTCACCGGCGAATCAAGGCAAAGCTCCGGTACCCACCGTACAATGGATTCGGGTCTGAGGACCTGGGCCCTGGGACACTCTCTGCATTTCTCTGCATTTCTCTGCATTTTATTTGATCTCGAAGCTACGGAAAGCTTTCAGCCTTCGGCTCCCAACTGCCCCTGACCCCTGAAGGAAGACTCCCTCGCAAGCTGCAAGGGCCTCATCTGCAAGCCTCCTCGGCGGGATGAGCAGAAGGACGGGAGATGATGTGCACGTGCTTCGGGTGGCCACTAGGATGGATTGCCAGAGTGACCCTTGGCCGAGCCTAGGGGATAGGAGCAGGGGCTGACTGTTGGTGTGCTGAAGGAGCTGGCAGATGCGGACAAGGCCGGTGAAGGGGCTGAGATCCATTTGGCTCGCACCACTGCCGGCTGGTGCTTTTACGCGTCCGTGTCATCGTTTCTGGATGCTGATCGCGGAAGGTGCTCCGTTTTGAGGCAGTCTTGGCAGATGATGTGGAGGACATTTTGCTGGAAACGAGGGGTGACCCGAATTCTGCAGATCTCGAAATTGCGGTCGAAGCCTGAACTCTCTGGGCACACAAGAGCCGAAGGAGAATGAAACCAGAAGGTTCGTGGTGGCGATCTGGCTCGGAGATGACAGTGTTGGTGTCCCTCGACCGTTCATGCGACTCGCTGCCTGCGACCAGAAGATCCAAAAGTCCGGAACCATATGCCAACAACGTTTCAATCCTGGGACCACGAGATCCTTAATCCGATGCTATACAGGAAATCACTTAAACCACGGCAACAGTTGCAAACGGAGGCATCTGAACCATCGAAGTCTTTGCCCCTAAGGCCGAGTCACACCCTCTTGCACTCACATGCTGCGCTCCATTTCTTGACCGAAGGCACTTAGAACACCTTAGGACACTTTTACACCCACCACTGGCACCGGGGTATCCCCTGCCCTGGGCCCTGCAACCTTGCCGCAGCACGCCCAGGGACCCTGACAAGGGAGCGAGCATCTTCAGACCTTGAACCCTGAAGCTTCGAAATGTCAAAAGAGCAAAGGTTTGGGAGATCAAGCAGCGAAACTCTGGGCACTCGGCAGGCAACATGGCACAGGCTTCATGTGCCTCTGCAGTTCATGACTTAATGAGTCGCCGTATTTGTTGTTTGGGTTTCATAGCGCTTCTTGGATGTTGGGTGTTGTTGCTGATCCTAGTTAGGTCGACGAGTGGCAGGTTGCGAAGGTCATGCCGCTTGCCACCGATCCGCCCACTCCGCTGTTCAGTCTGTTGGTTGCTACCGTGAGTTCTCGTATGTCGCTAGGCTGCTGCCCTGGTCTCCCGCAGCTAGATTCTCCTGTTGAGCATGACCGTGGTGCTAGCGGTGGTGGTGGTGGCGGCAATGACTGTTGCTTGCTTTTGCGCTTTCTTTGTTGTTGCGAGTACCTCGGAAAAGCCGTCCTGTGATTTGAGAAACCAGGCCGACATGTTAAGCCAGCGCCCGACGGCCTCCATGCTAGGACCGTCTAAGCAGATGGGGCGGTGGAAGGTACACCAGAGACGGCACCGAACATGGACACGCACGGATAAGGGTATCATGCTGGCACTATTTCGGCTTTGCCAGACAAGTCGATCACCGGCACCCGGCGCTGCACCAGCATCACCCGACCACGACAAGGCAGCAGCAACCTTTGGTCTTACTATTCAATAGTATTAGAGATGATTAGTCACTGGAGTGGTGGTAGCAGAGCTAGACTAGTGATGTGGTCTGCTGATAGTGGCCAGTCGTTCGCACACGGCCACGGCCGAGGCAAGTTTGCCAGCAAGTCGCGCAAGAAGAACCCCGCCACGGGCAAATGGTTTAAGCCTGGGACCTGGTCTTCGCTGCGATCGACTGCGATTGGAATACGTCTATGCAGAGAATTTAGTCAGGCCCTGAACTTCAAGGCTTGAAAATTGAATATCCAATGCGCCATCTGTATAGCCGATCTTCAGGAACGAAAGCACGTCAGGCAAACATATGGTTCTATCGCGTAGGACGTACTACCGGTATATCATTTCGTCCATACTGGTGCTGCTAGTGCCCATTCTCGTGCTGGCACCACTATACTTCGGGCCAGCATGATGAAGTTCCTCCTCCTCCGCCGCCTCATCATCATCAGCATCATCATCATCATCATCGTCTTTGCCACCGTCAGTGTCATCGTCATCATTATCGTCACCATTGTCGGCGGCGCCAGCGCCGCGTCCACTATCATGTCGGCAACACGATCGCTCTGAAAACAGTGCTGCTACATGCAGTTTGTTTTGTTACGCATGACAAGAATCTGTAGAGGCTAGAACCGTCGTCAGTGCCTTCTTGACTCTCCCCAGCATGGCCGTCAGTGTCGGCGCTCAGTGTCGGAGCCCAGGCCGGAAGAGTTCTACATCGGTGCCACAGTGGCCATTAGTGCCAGTCCTTTCCACCTCACCGGTGCTGATGAGAAGGCACCGGTCACCGGCCCTCCTGCCATCACATTCGCACAGACAGCCACGGTAACCAGGCACTGTGCTACATGGAGGAGAACTCAGCACAATTTGTGGTGTCGAATGCCCCTGAGCTGGCAGCAATTATGCTTTTGCCTTTGGCACAGAGTGTCCACGGAATGTCCAGCCAAACTGCGCTCCTCGAACCCAGCGAGCCCCTTCACCACACCGGGCCGAGAGTTTCAACTGCCGCACTACTTCCGAGGTGGACGCCATCCTTGTCAAATTGCGTGGCCTCAAGGACCATCTTTCGGTCCTCATCCAGATTATACTAACTACCAACTACTTTCTACAATCCACTAACTACTACCTTCTGCCTACTACCAAGTACCCGCTACATAATGCCTAGTAACTATTACCTGCTGCCTACTGCCTACTACATACTACCTTTGCCACTACCACCAGCTACCACCACAACAGCTACCACTACCACTGCCATCACCACGACCACTGCCAATGCCACGCCCGCGACCGCGACCACGACCACCACCGGCACCACCACCACCGCCACCACCACCACCACCACCACCACCACCACCACCACCACCACCACCACCACCAGCACCACTGCTGCTACTGGTACTGCCACTGCTACTGCCACGGCTACAGGTTACGGCTACGGTTACTGCTGCTGCTACTGCTCCTGCCGCTGCTGCTGCTGCTGCTGCGACTTGCTATGCTTTTCAATAGCATCGGCGCCTTAAGTCTGGGTTCCCATTGGAAAAGCCTGCGGCTGGAAGGAGCACTTGCAGAAGCGGAGCGGGTTCGTCAGCGGCGCGGGGCCCTGGTCTTTTTTGGAAGCAAGAGTTCGACCGTGGAACGAAGTGCGCAAGATGGATCTAGGGGGAAGGCGAAAGCTGCTTGTGGAACTTTCGTGGGGTGCTAGATGACTGCGACAAGTGCGAGTCGGGGATAGGTGCGTGTCCCAGGCCAGGCAGGCAAGTGAGCAAGCAAGCGTCCTGTGAGACACCGTTTCATCGGCACTGCGTAGGATTAAGCCTGTGGGCACCCCGTACCGATTTGCTCGCAAGAGCGATTGCATGAGAGCACTCGGATCTCTGGACTGCCTGAGTCCTTGCATGCGCTTAAGATGTGGCAACTGCACGATCACATTTTGTAACTGCTGCTCGAGGCGCAGATCTTAAAAGGATGGCCGAGGACTGGCCCGACATGCAGCTTAAGGCTGAGTTAGGCCTAGGGCTGGGCTCCACCGTAGGCTGGTGTGAAAGGGCCCTGCCGTGGGCTCCCTTCGACAGGACCGAGGCCTTTCGCTCTGCGAGCACGAGGTGCTCACGCTTTCACGGCGCTTCGGCCCCTTGAAATGCACTGAAGCAAAGCACGGGGGAACGGCAACCCTTCCACGAAAACCTTGCAGGCCTGGCCTTCCCAAGCTTGTAGGAAGAGCGAAGCCATCTACGGGCACAGCTTGAAGCCAGCGCGGCCTTTCTAAGCTCAGCGACTGGCGGACCCTCCGACCCTAAACCTCGGCTTGTTTGTCCGAGTGTGAGTCAAAAACCTTGCCCAAATTCTGATCCCTCCCCAACCCTGCAGACCCCTTCTGCAAAACATGCTCCTTGCGCAGAAACCTTTGCTGAGCTTGGGGTTTGCAGGAAAGATTGGATTGTTTGGTGCTTTCATACAGCAGCTTCAGGTTTCATCTTTTCAGAGTTGCGATGGCTTCGGCGCTGCAGTGGTCGTGCACGGGTTCGTTAATTGACTGTTCAGGTTAAGATGGGTATTACATGAGGTGTTGCACTCCAGGGTGGGCAGTACTTGGCACATCCATGGCCAGGCAAGTATGCGCTTGCAGTTTGCAGGCCGATCCGATAGCTTGGCTGTTTCTCATGAGCACAGCCAGCATGACATACGACCTACCTCTAGAGTGTATTCAGCGCACTTGCTCTCACGCCCTGCAAGCCCAAACCTGAGGCACATATGTGTGGATTTTCGGAAAGTCTGGCGTTGACGCTGCCAAGCTGGCACAGGCCCTCGGATGACCCGAGGCCGCTTCAAAAGAATCCTTTTCAAGACGGGCTAGCTCATGAACTTTGCTATTCTGAGGCAGGGTTCTAGGCTTTTATACCAGGGAAGATGGCAACGATTCAGTTGAGTGTAGTAGCACCACGCAACAGCGGGCTTGTGGGGACCGCAAGTTTGATCACAAGTTGCACCACTCCGCACGACAAATGATTTTGGTTCCCAGAACTGAGCAGGCTAATTACTATTTAGTTATTAGCAGGGGAAATCGTTAACAATGACCGATTGATGGCATCGCTCGAACTAGTGCGGGCAACGGAAGCACGAAGACCTTACCGGAAGCGATAGCTGCAGCAACACTAGCAATAATCATGTTGGAAAGCAATATTCCCAACATCGAACTACCAGCAATGTTTTCATCGGTATCTACGTCGTAGGCGGTGGAATCATGATTGAAGTAACGGGACAGCGGCAGGTGAAAGAGCACTACACTTGGATTCCGTTCAGGCGTTGTCATTCAGCAAGTTCTGAAACCAGTCCAACAAGATGCTGCCCTGGGAGGTGGTGCCGTGCCTCGAAACAGGCTTCTTCAAAACTAACGGTGGTGTATAGAGACGTCTCACCCTCGCTGTCAGGAGTTATGAAGCCTGTTCATGACTTCATGCTATGTGGGCCGACGTCCTGAAACTCCTGTCGTTGACGATGATCTTACATCCAGTGTGCGCAGCAGCCTGAATCGGGAGTGCTCTGGCTGCTGGGCAATTTTGGGGTGGCCAGCTACACCGGATGCAAGACGCATCTGCTAGTCGCGGCTTTCTCCATGATCCAGAGCCCCGAAGTTGATTCCTACAGCTCAGCATCACTTTGACATGATTTCTGTAGTGCCTCGGTCTGGTATTGCCGACTTCCTAAGTAAGGTGGGCCCAGGATTCCAGGTTTTTGGGCGGTGTTCCCACGTTCTCCAGGAACTGCTTTCCACTGGGTTTCGCACGAAGTAAACGACGCCTAGCACAGTCACCAGAGCCAAACTGTGTGTTTGTCTTTTCAAGGCCAGCTCAAAGCATGATTGCTACCTGGGAAGCCTCAATCGAACAACCCGACCCGAAGTTGTGACCTTCGCGAGGGAGGTCGTTGGGACCCCTTCTACTTGAGGGATCTCAAAGCGTCGTGTCACCTCGCTGAAAAAAGGAGTGCCGCCCTGATCTACTAAAGCGTTAAATCCCTGGCCAACCACCTGCAAGCTCTTCTCACACAATCCTGGTTCCCGGGCAGGAGCAAATGGCCAACACCTGGAACAAATGTCCGTGTTGATTTGTATATTGACAGCAAGGAGAACAAACTTACTACTAGCCATGGTAAGTCGCGCAAGAAGCCTAAGACACAGCTTCAACAGCAAGTGGCAAGAACGAGATTGATCATACCAATACTAAATGTGACAGTAAACGCTAATCACAATAGTATGGAGGAGGAATCAACAACTTCGAGACGGGAACGGAAATCGCAACGTCAACGGCGGTAACGCTACAACTGCAGCAGAAACAAAAGCAATATCTGCATCTAGCCACTTCTTAAGTCTTGGCTTGACATGTCTCCCTGTCTGCAGTCCCGCAGTTTTTAGTTGACGGAGTGCCCAGCATCGTACGTAATAAACACTCACAGACGTTCCATCCTGCCATAGGGGACGTGTCGGCATGTCCTGATAAACCTCCGGAACCCACATGCTTGGACGTGGTTCTTTGGAGCAATAGAAACTGTAAGAAGCTTGTCGCCACCTTGAGGGCTCTGACACAAGGCCAGCAAAAGCTCAACAGGGCAGAAGCCATCATTGCCCAGAACTAAACAATGTGATTTCGCCCCGTACCAGGAACCTCGCCTAGGCATGGACGAGAGGGAGTGCTGAAACAACCATGGCGTGCGATGGGATCTGAGCCGGACCTGGACGCGCTGTTCGGTCCCGGCGAAGCAGCCGAGGCACCCCAGTTGAAGAAAGCAAGGTCTGATGGTGAGCCCAACTATACTTCTCATCTCCTCATGGGAGGTTTTGTGCGCAATTTCTTTGATCCGGCATGCGTGGTACCAAAATGTCATTTCATTTTCGTTTTCACCATCATCATCAACATAATTTCGTTTCATGTTGCCAACCATGAATACGCCTGAGAAAGCGTAAGTGTGTGTGCGTGTGCGCGTGTCTTCCAAGTGCGTGCGCGCTCACATGTGTGCATGTGTGTGCGTGTCAAAATCCAAGACAAACTCTATATCCTCAAAGCCTTTTCTTTTCGTCTGGCCGCGTCCGAGTTGCGAGAGCGTATATCCTTTTCGACGCCCCTACGAAGTCCAGGGGCCAGGGGCCTCACAAGACCCCATAAAGCCCATATAGAACCCCTGTCTACAACCCGAATAGATCTACAACACCAAGGCACCTGGTGCTACACCTGAGTCCCACGTGCAGCAGGCGCGCCCAAGGGCCCACGGAACCGCATGGAACTGCACACCAGTCTTCAGCAACCATACGTGTTATAGCTGTAGAGTTGTTGCTAAGAGAGTTTCTACCGTACTATGTATTACCAATAGTGCTTGCTGCCACTAGCTTGCAACTATTGCTGCTGCTGCTGCCGCTGTTGCTGCTGCTGAGGTACGACAACTCCGGGTAGAATTGCTGCGCCCATTACTACGAGCACTGTTTCCATAACGATGACGACGACAACTACTGCCGCTGCGACTCTTACCAGTGTCACTGACTGCATGGACTGCTGGTGAGTCTTCTATCAGTTCAGTTGTGTGCTCGTTCTTCTTATGGTTCTTGCCTGTGGTGTTCAGTTAATGTCGTAACAGTCACAGCACACATAGGACCTGCGAGCACGTTCACCAAATTGTCAAAAAGAAGGACACCGGCAAGGCGAACAGGGATGACAAGACACTGGTAGCATCTGAACTGAACGATGTATCTTTTTGAAGGAGAGGAGGTTCAGTTCGGAGGTGCATCCCGTTGCAGGTTCATCCTGCGCTTCGCTCCGCAGTTGAGACCCTCGTGGCAGAGGCAGGAGATTTTCTTGTGGAGCCCTTGCCTGCCGGTTGCTTGTTCATACATGTAGAGGATCTGCTGGATTTCTTGATAGCACCTTCCTTCTGCTTTGCGTTCCTTCCGACTCCTTCAGTCCTGGCCTCGGGCGCGTGCGGAGCTCGTCGGGGCGGAGAGCGGTGAGCAGGCTAGCAAGGCCTGCTTGGGCGCTCTTTCTTCTACAGGATTGAGCGAGTGCTCTTCCAAATTTCAAGTCCTGAACCAGGCATTGCAAACAGAGGGGCCGCAGCAATTGGTAATATTTAGTTTTGTTTTCTAGGCAATGGTTGATTAAAAAAAGCTTTCAAGTGTGTATCAACTCGGCTTCGCAAGGAACACGATAGGCGATGGCCACAGGAAGTTCAAAACGGAATGATGTACACGTTTAGCCATAGAAACAGGACCCGACTTGTCGAGGAGTTAGTTTGCTGCAGGTACCACTTCGACCACTACCACTTAATAACAAACACTAACACCGCATTGCCACCAGCAGCACCACCCCCCACCAATACCACCACTACCACCACCAACACCACCTGCACCACCAGCAGCTCTAGCAGAAGCAGCAGAACCACCCCAGCACCGATACACGACAACACGAAAAGACCAATTCAATTCTTCTTTGCTGCTGCTGCCGCTGCTGCCAGCGATCATGGCCATCATCGTCTGCATCGGCACGGCAGTGGAAACATGTCACAAGCTTGGGTGATAGCGAAGGGTTGTTTGTGCACATAGCAATGCGAACCGTCATCTGAATCAGCGCCCCCATGTGATCAGGCTCATTTGACCCTCCTCACGGCAGTGACAGCCGTTGTCAACATCGTTAGCATCACCACCAGCAGCCGTAATAGTGGCATCATCGCAAAAGCCAGCGGGACTGCCGCATTGCGCATCTTGTCAGGGAGCCCGTCCACCACTTCCGGCTTCCTTAGCACGGGATGTGGATGCAGCCCTGGCGGCGGAGAGCTGCGGTGAAGCTTTACTTCCATCATTGCGGCAAGTGCTAGTAATGTGCATTTGTTCGATTGTTTCCGCTGAGCTAGATCGCAGCCTGGTGTCAACCAGGGCTTTGTCAACTGTAAGTGCCGCAGCACGCACTCTCGGTGCACAGCGCTGTTACGACGATCCGTGTCACAATGTTCTATTGACGTTGGAAGCGAAGCATGCCTTGTCTTGAGTCTTGAGTCTGTCGCTACATGCGAATCCAAGAATTCCTTCAGGAATGGGCAGACTGCCGGCAGAAGGCTGGTGACACGGCAAAGTTCGGCGCAACAAGCGTTTCAGCATTGGGGTTTGTACCGGGAAAGCACATCTGGATGCCGGCGTCATGTGATTAGGGTCTGGGAGTCGGGGCAGGCAGTCTGTATATATATATATATATAATATTGGGCTTGATGGTTCAATCGTTGTCGGTCTGTGGCATGATCGTTTCTCAGTCCTCGCAGAATGGCTTTTCTTGTCTGTCGTGTGGCGGGCATGTGAGCGATGAGGGTTTCGGAAAAGCAGTGCCAACCAAAATTCAGAAAAGCAAAATCAAAGGCAACACTACGGGCCGATTCCGAAAGCCGCGGGTGGATTCGGTAACCTGTATTTCCTTCTGGGGTTGGGGGTCTTGCATCCAGGTTTGCCACCCGCGATCTTCTTTTTGGGTTTGGGTCGGTGTAATGTTTGGGGCAAGTTTGCGGTTTGGCAACCAATGTATCCTTTTGGAGTTTGAGGTTTGCCCACCAACCTCAACCTCGTCTTCGTTTAGTTTAGGGTTTGGGTCTCAGCTTTTAGGGCTTAGGTTTTGCCATCCGCGATCTTCTTTCGGGCTATTTGGTGTGCCAACCAACATCTTCCTCCTTAGGTTTTGGGGTCTTGATTTTGTGTGCCGGATCACTTCCAATGTTTCGCGAATCTCCGGCCAAGCTCTCGGAACGGCGAGAGTCGATAAATAGCTCGCGGGGACTGTTGGTGTCGTGATTTGGTAACTTGCCGCAGGCTCCACGGGGGCCATCGCATTTTTGAGGTTTTGCTTGCTTGGGTTCCTCAGTGGCACTGGCGCGGAATGATGGATGCCGGCAAGAACCCGCAGAAGTTTCCGGCGGAACAACGCAGACAGAGTTAGGACGATCGACCCGTCCAACAGTACTCGTAGCTGCGTAGTTTTTGAGTCCGGAAAGCAGGCATTTCTTGCGGCACCTTAGAGCTGTATCGCGCAGGCGTCGGCCATCAGATCAGAGGCCTGGAATGCTCTGATTCGAGACAAAGGCTGGCAGCGACACTCGCATGATCAGAGGTGACGGTGCAGTTTCCAGTTGGTGCACCTGGAACTCGTTGCATCCAACCAAGTATAGGAATGAAAGACGCTGGGTTCGGTTACCGTTCATTGGGGTCGTGATCATGCGCAGAATCTCGTGGAGGCAGTTGACTCTGGTTCACGAGCTGGGATTGTACTTTGTCAACTCGCATCCCAGGACCCTGCGACAAGGAGCTCTTCATGCTCATCGAGCTGCTTCTGGCACTATGCTCGCATGCCTCTGGCAGCAGCTCATCAGCCGTGAAGCACGCCGATGGTGTCTTTGTCTTTGCACCCGCTGGCGAGTTCAGATCCTGTGCGCTGCTCTTTGTTCGTCTGCTCGACGACGATGTACGGGCTGCGCGGTCAGAGGAGCTCGGAGGGAAGCGGATCTTTCCGGTCTTGCGCCGGGTTTCAGTCTCGTTTCGCTTGTAGCGAGGAGGCCCAGGCCCGGGCCCAGGCCCGGACCCTGGGAGACTTCCCGAGCAGCCCGCAGACCGCGCTGAGCGCTGCGCCGACGGGGCCCAAAATTGCAGGCGCGCAGAGGCTGGGCAGGCTGGCCACGGACCCTTGCCCCGAGAAGTTGAAGGAGCTGTTGTCCTCGTCGCTGCTCGCACGCAGTTCAGCGGAAGTGTGTGCTGACGCACGTAGGGGTTCCAACCAGAAACTATCCCGCTCAAGCCCAAGGAAACCTTTCTACTTCCCTGGCGCACTGGAGGGGTGGCCGGCGCGGAAACGATGGAGTTCCCTAGAGTATTTGGATCGCCAGGCGGGGCTAGGGAGACTTGGACATCGTGAATGCTTACGTATTCGCCTATGTATGCATGCATGTATGGACAGAGGGACGTGGCGCACGCACGTAAGCAAATCTGACTGTATGATTTTTTGCGTGAGTGCCTGCGCATTTGTTTTCTCGGAGCCGTCATCTGAATCTTGATGGAGCTGTCGCCGTCATGGGCAAGTGCACGTGCTGGTCAATGATAAGCGGCATGCATGATCCTCTTCTTTGCGGCGCTGAAGCCCTCTCTGAGGCGGGCCACCGGCTGGTACCAACCGAGATTGGAAGCGAAGTGGGCGCAGATGGCTGGAAGGAATCTTTAGAATGCCGGTTTTTGTCAGAGTGGTTGCACGACAGGGTTCGCGGTGCTGTTCCCTGTCTCCAGAACGCCTGTTTGTTTCGAGCGCTGACGGGGCTTCCCGAGCCTAACCTTGGCATTCCATGGAAGATCGTCTCGAGCAACCAAGCCTCCTGCCTCGCCTGGAATGTCTGACTCTGAGCGCCGAAACCTAGCTTCACAACGTGGCTTCAAGCCAAACGAACACAGCAGTGATGCCCCAGATGCGATAGAAAGGCAAACCCTGAGAGGAAGAGCTGATGCCCTTCAGCCGCTTCCTTGAGGAGTCCGTGCTGCGTGGCTATTTGTATATCCAGCCGCAACATCAACTCTGGACCCAGCCCGTCGTGTTTATCAGTGCAGGGGTTGTTCATAGACCGATGTGCTTTCCATAAGTCCATGCACTTCAGGCTTCATAAGCTACGGGGCTCTCTGTGTTGTGTTCAAAGACCCCTCGCCCGCTCCCAACCACCACCATCTGCCATGGCAAGCCGTGCAGCCCCTCGGGCGCGGACCACAAAGATCTGTGGAGCTTAACGACAGCATTGCCCGAGCGAGGCTTCAGTGGCAGCATCCCCATAGAACCAGATGTTCGGACACACTCATACCCGTGAAGATGTTTGGCATTTTGGGTTGGTAGATTGTCGGTAATAGAGATTGCAGCAGCTAGCAAGGCATGCACACCCACACAAGCATGATTCGAAAAGAAGACAAGTCCTGAACTTGTTAACCACGGGCAATCTTCAGTCCGTGACTCCGTGACAGTCATACATGCGGGCATTGCCCCCCACCCCCCACCAACTCATGTATGTCGGGGTGGGGACGGGCTCGCATGATATATTTCCGCCCCGGCGATAACGTAGGCCAGAGGGGTGGTTTATGCATAGGATATTGACAACCACAGGGGTTGGAGTGCCAGATCCGCGACTCTGCCGCCCATGGACCAACCCCAAGTTCCGCAGGCATGCCCAGCGGAAGTATAATGTATGATGGTGGGTGTGAGCCTGGCCGGAGTCACCCTTTATGCATTCTTGCTCCTTGCGCATCCTGGTGTGTTTCCTGAGACGCTAGTTTACAAAGTCTAGAACGTGTTTGTCGTGGGCTAGTATGTTGAGGTCATGCATTTATTGTCGACACACAACAAGAAGGAACTGATGCAAACACATGTTTCGGATCCTCCGCACCTTGCCAAGTATATTTTAATCATCACATAATGCTGTAACCTGCATCATGATGTTCTTAGGATTTGAAGGTTCTGTTTCTGCTCCCGTCCAAGCCTTCAAAAAAGAGTCGGAGCCTTGCCAGGAGTTCCTGGCCCCCAGCTGCTCCGGGGCCCAAGGCCAAACCGCATACCTGGCCCAGCACGAGCTCTTCGAGCAGTGTCCCGTGTGCAGGCAGCACTCTGACTGTAAACTCTGCTTCGGCCCACCGCCAAGAGTAGTCTTGGCAGGAATGAACAGGTGAGGCGGGAGCGCGGGGTCGGTCGGGTTCGAGGGTGGGGGATGCGAGGTTCGGGCCGAAGCGAAGCCACCTAGGTCTTGCGTGCAGACATCGCTTTGCCACAGGCATGGCAGCAGGTCCGGTGAGAGACAGGGAGGGGGCGGATTAGTCAGGTGGCTCAGGGCTCAAGAGCTGGGCGAGTCAGGACCATGAGTGGGATCTGGAGTTGAGTCAACTCCAAGACAAGATGCAGCACCGGAAGGTCCTGGGGGCACCATCGCGCTGCAATGCATGGGTGGGAACGAGCAGGAGCCGTTGTGCAGCCGAGGCATCTGGGGTCGTGTTACAAGAACTATCAAGAACCCAATTCGAAAGGAAACAAGAGCTTCGCATACACCAATATAGGAGTTTCTGTGAGGCTCCCTGCATAGCTCAGCATGCAAGTTCTCTGCTGCAGGACGCTCACGCCCTGCCACTGGGACTCTTACGCACCTCGCCTGCTGAAGTATGAATGTTGGTAAAGTGCAAGAATGGCTCACATGTCGCTGTTGGAAAGAAGGCTTTCAGACCAGCTGTTTTTTGAACGTTTTGCCGTCATCACTACGGCTTGATCTTCGACACTCCAGGAGTGTCTCGACGCTGCGTGCCGATCTCAGGACAACTTCTTGGCACAAGTTCAAGGATTCAAGCGAGTGGCCAGCTGGCTAATTCAGTCTTGATTGAAGTTCTTGCCTGCTTGAAAGCGCACCGGCCCGAGAACCCCAAATCTGAATGCACACCTCGGCACCCTTGCCGCACCAAAGACAAACATGTGCATTCCAGGCCAGCCACTGTTGAGCTTGTCGAGCCAGTTCTACATTTAATCTGCCCAACGACTCAGGACCTGACGTGCCATTTCGCCTTGTATGTTATGGCCTTATGATGTATACAATGCATGAAGTCAAAAAGGACATGCAGCCTCCTCAAGCACCCAAGCTCCGGCCTTCCTCAGTCCTTGCAGTCGAAAGCGCGCGCTTCCGCGGATCCCCAAAGCCTTGGCCTAGGCCTGTCAAGATGAGAACTCTCAGTTTCAAGGTTCCAGGTCTCCTGGTGTGAAAGGAGTTTAGGGTTTAGGGGTTTAG